TTTTTTTTTTTTTTTTTTTTTTCAATTACAGTTCAGTTCTCAAACTGTTCAGGCAATGTGGAAGCATCCAGCCTGGGCTGTAGCTTCGCCCCTGGGATTCTCCCCTTCGGAACCGGTTCCGGCACCAGGACCTTCGGGCAAAAACAAGTCCTGGCAACTGTTTCATTCCAGATCGYGAGGGCGGAACAGGGCTTGGCTGCAGAGAAAAGAAAGAASGGAAAAAAAGCCCCAAAGCCCTTTGGTTTTGGCCCTTTTGGCACTTSCAGCGAGTCAGTGAAGGCAGCTCCATCCATGGGGTTTGCACTGCAGCAAGGAGCGGGACTCCGCAGAAAAGCAGCAATTCCCATGGGGAGCAGCCCGGGAAAATGTACAGCCGTGGGGCAGCTGCCACCAGCCTGAAAAGTGACCCCGGTGGCCGTATTTTGGGGGGCTGGGGTGGTGCTCTGCAAACCTACCTGCAATCGCTATTTGCTCTTGGCTCCCTTCTGCTTTTGCCGGTAGATCTCCTCCGTGAAGGGGCTGCGGGAGAAGGGCAAGAGGGAGGGAAGAAAAACTCGGGATAATCAAAGCTATGAAGGATTTCCTCGTCCTGCCTCTTCTCCAGGGCTCCCCTTTGGATAGGAAAACCTTCCCATTTCAAGGTAAATCTCAGCTGTGCCCAGGGCAGGAGCATCCCTGTGTTGAGCGCAGCAGGGCTCAGYTGGACCCCCTCTCCGTGACACCAAAGCCTTCCCGCTGCTACAAGAAAACCACCATTTCTGGGGATAATTTGGGGCCATTCGGTGCACGGCATCTGGGTGCAGCACAGTGGAGAAGCCCATGGAAGGGAGGCCAAAATGCAAGCTCTTTTTGGGGTGTCTCCCCAGGTGGCCCCAGGAGCTGTCCTGGCCTCCCTATTGYTCTCACCCATCCCAAAGCAGCCCCCAAAGCTGAGGAACCTTGTTTGGAGAAAACCAGATACGTGCACGAATTCCTAGAATCCAGCAAATCACCGGAGCGGCATCTGCCCCTTAGCAGAGTGAGCGAGGAACAATCACCTGCCTTCCTTTGCCCTCATAGAATTAATTGGAAAAAAAAAAAAATCCTCGTTTTTTCCAATTCCCCGAAACCCTGGGACTCAAAGATGGCAGCAATAATTAGAAGCTCTCCAGCTTTGCAGAGCTACTCACCCCTCGTAGAGCACCGCAATTGTGTAGGAAATTGCCACTACAGCCGTCAGCAAAAGGCCAGCTGGGCTCGCGTGCCTGTCGTGCAAGGCAAGAAGAGGGAGGTAAATACATGGGCTTAAGCAAGACACCGTTTGGGAAGAGAAAGGAGACATTTGGGGCCATGAGAGCCTCTTGTTCGTTAAAGAGAAATGAACAAAAGGTGGGTTTTTTTGGTGCTTCATGTTAACCGACTTGGGCTACGTGGAAAAGCCTCCTCCGCGGGCCAAGGAGATGTCTCTTATTTGGACCGGCACACATGTGYGCTGGTGGAGCTGCTGCTGATGCAACCTGTGCTCCTCCGGCTGGAGCCGAGTGGACGTTGATATCAACCCACGGCTCCCAGGGCACAGCGGGACCCGTGGGATGAGCTGGGGATGCAGTATCGCGGTTAGGACTTGGAGCTGGATCACTGCCATGGGCTGATGGCAGCGAAGGCAAAAAATAGGGATGGAAATGACCTCTATCCTCTGCTCCGTGGCTAGCAGGTGCTGGAAACGACTTCCATCCTCTGCTCCGTGGCTAGCAGGTGCTGGAAGTGACTTCCATTCCCTGCTCCGTGGCTAGCACGTGCTGGAAGTGACTTCAGTCCTCTGCTCCATGGCTAGCAGGTGCTGCTGGATCCATTGTCAAGCACCCAGCCTTCAGCAAACGTGACTTCACTGCACGTCCTGCCCGCCAAGCACCTTCGTTAGGGGGCTGCTAATTGCCTTTAATTAGCCACAGCTCAGCGCTGTGAGCGGGGTGGGAGCTGGCTGCACGCAGCAGCTTCCCACTGGGAATAAACACCTTGCAGGCCTTGTGGAACGTGGATCATCCCGGCCGCATGGAAAGACGCCTTCCAAGGGGGAGAGGTCCAAGCGTGTGTCCGGGATGCCCCCGATTCCTGGAGAGATGCATGCGGAGCGTCACCTTTCCGCTCCTGCTCCTTGGCACCAAGTTTCTTCCTCATTAGGAAACATTGGACACCTTCTGCATCTCCCGGCTGCCCGCTATTACATGCTTAGTCATGTCTCCTCCTTGATCCGTATCAGAGAGAACAAATTTGCATGATTGTTTGTTGACAGCRAGACCTTTAATTGGATCATTTGGCTGCAGCGCCAGCCCTGATTTACACAGCTTGTTGCCATGACTTAAAACATTTTCCCCATCCGAAGATACACAGAACCGTCCCCGCACGACTAATGCTTGATTTGTCTTGCAGAAGCTGCTGAACGCTTGACCAGGACAAGAAGTATTTGGGTAAATTGAGTTTTTTTCTTCTTCTCACAAGCCTGACCTACTTATTGGCAGCGGCTCATGTTGCAGCATGGACGGGGGTTCAAGGTGGGTTTTCTGGTGCTGGTTTCTTGCCACCTCCCTCCTCTCCTTTTGGGACGTTGCCTTTGGGGACCCGTGAGCATCAAGATTCAACCCTCCTTGGGCAGCGAGTGGCAACTCCAGCTTCAGCCCCACGGGGACACAGACTTGTTGCAACGACCACCTTGCAGGCGTGAAYATCTCCGGAGCCCTTCCAGCTCCCAAGTTATCCAGAAAAACCTCATTTATCACCCTGGATCCAGGCAGACGCATAGGGCCGATCCCGTGYGCACGGCGCAGGGGAGTCCCCTCCCCAAACGCCCCATCGCTCCCCGTGCGCAAACGGGGTCAAAACGGCACCTTGGGCGTCTTTGGCGCTCCAAGTTTATTTTGGCTGCGCGGCGGCCGTGCGTCGAGCCGGGGCTGTGTTTGCAACATCTTGGACGGGGAAAACAAAACAAGAGGGAAAAATAACAGCGGCTTTTGCTCCGCGCGCCGCTTTGGACGCTGGCTGTCAGTGCGGAGGGCAGGCTGCCCGGGGCGTCGCCAGGCGCGCTGAATTGTGCGGAATGTGCCCCGGGAGATGGGAATGAATCAATCCGTCTTGCTCCGAGGCCGCGATGCGCAGGGTGATGTGTGGCCGGGGGAGGAGACGGGTGCTCCAGACCCAGTGCAGGCTGCCAAGCACCCTGTGCCTTCCTGCGAGCTCCAGCAGCATTGCGGGGGATGCGGTGGACAACAGAGCAAGGGCTCGATCTGTTCTGCAAAGAGCTGGAGAATTTCTTTGACRCTGATCTTAATGAAAATAAAATAAAATAGCCCTTCCTATAGCTCCTCATGGTGAGGTGGCTCCTCCTGCTCCAGCACAGCGGGTTGCACCGTTGCGCTCGGCTGCAGGAAGGGCTTCCTGGGCACCCTTTCCACAGGTCCGGAGCCAACGGAGCGACCATGGGCTTGGCTGGAGGCCAGTGGCCCCAGTGCACGGCGAGCCCGGATGGCTTCCAWGGGACACAACAAGCGAACACTGGAAAAAGGCCATAGGCAGAAGCGGGGAACGTGCAGGACCAGAGAACCATGCACAGCTGAGCTGCAAAATGTGGCCTGGTGGAGACCAACCGCTTCATTCCCCTGCTAAGCAAGAGCGAGGGGCTCAACACCCGGCAAAACACGGGCTGACAGCCCACCGTGCAGCTGGGCCTCTCACTCCTGCACAAGTAAATCAAAAGCGGTATTAAATAAAGCCACCTAAAACCCAACGCACAGAATATCCAGAGCGCGTTGCTCATTTGCTGCTCAATTACAGCCTATTCATTTCCTCAAGAGCCGGCTATTAAGCTGCGGCGCGGGAGCGTTTCGGCAGTGCTAACACTGCAGGGGGGACACAGGCGCTTTGGCTTCCTTGGATTTTTTTTCCAGCATAATTATGGGGCCAGGATGATCCCGGGACCCTGCTGCGGGACCCCTGGCACGAGTGTGGCCCTGGCTGTTGGTTTTTCCGGCCGCAGAGTGCATTGCTGCTGACGCTGCCCTCGCCGGCGCGTAGCCGCTGCGGCAACGGATGCCGAGTGCTGGAATAAAAGCAGGGAGCGCAGGGGCCGGAGCGGGGACTCACATGAGGGCCCAGCCCAGGTAGACGGCAGTGCTGCCCCAGTACATGGGGTTGTCCAGGACGCTGAAGGGGAAGCTCGTCACCTTCGCCTCCATCAGGATGCCGAAATAGTCACCTGCGGCGGGAGCAGAACGGGTTACTGTGATCCTGGGGCACCCGTGCATGCCACGGCCGTCACTGCGACGTGGTGGGGACGTCCCTGCTGGAGTCACCCCCAGGGACACGGCTCCTCGGTCCTGCGCCGATGGCTGGTGGCACTTGAGCCACCAACAGCCACGTGGGTGCAGAGCCAAGGAGGTGCCCAAGCGGGCTGCTGAGAGCAGCGAGCAGGCTGCTCCGGATCTACCGGCCTTTCTGGGATGGGCTCTTTGCCCATGGTTGGGTTCATGCATCGCAGCCACATCCCTCGGCACTCGCTTCAAGACAGGATCCTCCAGGATCCTCCAGGAGGAGGATCCCTCCAGCTCCCACTAGTAAATGCCCTTGCTGGAGCCACCCTTATCCCCAGCAATTCCCCCAGTTTCAGATTCCCAGGGTATTTTTCCAGTGCCTTGACCTCCAAACCCCTCAGTCAATGGCACATGGGTGACAGCAGGCACTTGTCCTCCAGAGCAAGCAAAGCTCTGAGAGCCTCCAGCCTCCAACAGCAGCCTCCAGACTCTGCAGCCCGTGAGGAGCTCGGAAAAGCAATGGAGAAGYAGGGAGACACCGCGCTGCCGGTGTCCAGGACTCCAGGACCGGACACCAGCCCATGTCACACGGACTGGGCCTGCCCGGTGCACCCAGCTTTGCTCCCGAGCCCGTGTCCCCTTCGTCCTTCTCCATGCTATCGCACGCCGATCATCAGATCAGTCGTTCCCCTTTCGTGGGGGGGTGGCCGGGATTAAGGAAGGTTGAGAAAGGGCTTGGAAATGCAGATAAAAAGCATTTCGGGAGCGCAAAGCATTCAAGGCTGTTATTATTACCTGCATTGTAGTGCAATTTCTTTGGCCTCACAGGGCGCAAAATCATTTATTTTGAAGGATAAACAGCACCTGCCCAATTATACCAAGCTTGGGGCTTTAACTACAGGCCACTAAGTGAGATAATTGCCTGGTACTTGTATTAAATGTTCCCGGCGTTACTTGGCAATGCATCTCCACAACGGTTGTGGCACAAAGCACCCCCCGGGGTCGCAGCCCATTTCGGCGCTTTCCTTGCCCCCTGCCCGGCTGCAAACGCCTCCTCCCCGGCCCTGCTTGCGCGGTGGGAGCCGCGCGAAGCCCCTTTGCAAGCAGGAACGAGCGCCCACGCGAAGCCCCAGGCCCTGTCGTGGGGATGCAAACCGGCCTCTGCATCCGCACACTTCAATGGAAATGACATGAGGGGAATGGAAATAATATATAACAGTATATATTTATACTCTCCAGCAGGTGCAATGGGAAAGGTGCAAGGGTCTGGASTGCACCAGGAACGGGCTGATGAGGTTTGGAATCTATACTGGGGTTTTATTTGCTGGAAGGCAGCATTCCCAGCACTGCCGATGAGCCAAGTCCTCACAGTGTCAATGGTCAGAAAATGGGGCAAATGGCAGCAAAAAAGAGGCTCTAAATCCCCAGCACCGCCGATGAGCCAAGTCCTCACAGCCACATTGGCCAGAAAATGGGGCAAATGGCAGCAAAAAGGGGCTCTAAACTAAGAGCTTGGCAAGCACCTGGTGCTTTCTGAATTGCTCCGACTGCCAGTGGTGGTTGTGAAGACCTTGCTGCAGAGGAGGAGGAGGAGGATGGACTGCCTGGGAGGAAGAGGACAGGCTGTGTTGGATCCCTGCTTCTCCCACACCTCTGGGACACAGGAACTGCGCAGGTACCTGCGGTCCCCACTGCATCCCGAGCATCCCAAACGCGGCAGCTCTGGCCTGTGCACCTGGGGGGCAACTCGGTGCCCAGATAATCCAGGGTCCTGGCGAGACCGGGGCTGACTCCAGCTGAGCGGGGCACGGAGCCCAGCTCTCCGCTCACCCCGAGCCTGACTCACGCGTTTGCTTTTCCCCGACAATTCAGGCCCAGCAGATGAATCAGACTTTACGTAAGCAACCAGAGAGCCAGCTAAACCTCGGGGAGCGTGCAACGAGCTCGGGAGAGGGCTCGGGAGCGCTCCAGGCACTCCGGCCACATCCCCGAGCATCACCCACGCTCCAGCAGTGGAGGAGCCGCCCCAGCTCCCGGCGTTCAGCGGGGACCACAGGTGATTTTGGGGTGAACTATAGGCAGGCAGCCAGAGCGCAGGCGCTCAGGGCTCTATTTCTGGTTGTCGGATCTTGGCCAACTCCAACCGTTACTCTGCAGCGGCCCTTGAAAACCAGGCAGGGTTATTACCGCCCGCTCCTCTTCCTGGAGACGCCGCGGGAGCTAATTGAATTTGGTTTGTAAAGAGCTTGCAAAAGCACAGCCTAAATGCAGTGTCAAAGCCGGGGCCGGGATTATTTCAGCCAGCAGGAGCTGCCCCTTTCCTTAGATATTTATTGTTCTCAGCTCTTATTTTTATGAATTCCTCGCATACCGGCGTGTTTTGAAAGTCAACAGCGCTAATAGAATTACCCTGCGGATGGGAAAGCAGGCCCAGTGGAAAATGCTTTCCTCCACAAAGCGGCAGATAAAAGCAGCCGTCACAGGCTGCCAACTTCAGTGCAGAGGGAAGAGCGATGGAGAGCGGCCTCGGTACGTGAGCCGAGCGGGCCAGGGCTCAGCGCGTGGCTTGGCTCACGCGGCAGCTCGMTGTTCGGCAGCTGGGCTTCACCACCAGACCCATTAGAGACTGTAATATATATAATATAAAAGGCTTTGAGGGATGTGTTTGTTGTTGCGTTCGGTCAGGCTTGTGCTGAAAATGGGGGGCTTGGGTCTGCTCGCTGAGCCCCCTTCCTGGGGGATGCGCCCAGCCCTGGGATAACGGGAGCTTTCCAAAACTGCAGGCTTGGCACTGCACTTGCCCCTGAATCACGCTGTCCCAAAGGCCCCGTCGGGATTAGAGGAGCCCTCTGCCTGATATCTGCATTTCTGGAGAAGCTAATGCATGCTGAAAAGCTTCGCTACCAACCAAGCACCCCAGCCACCCCATCAGTGCTCACCTAGGAACGTCCCGACGAAGCCCAGCGCCAAGAAGCTGGAGATGACGAACACAGTCCCGACGGCCAGGATGGCCAAGCCCAGGAGATACGTCCAGCGGCAGTCCAAGCCCTCCAGCCTGGGCTGGCTCTTCATGGCCTCTGTGAAGCTGTTGGAGAGACAACGGGGGCAGTTAAGAGCAGTCATCAGCAGTCACCCCAATGAGGCATGAACCACTTTGGAGGTCTTTGGTGTTTAGGGGGTCTTCAGGCACCAAGTAAATTCCCAAATGATATTTAAATCTCACGGCTGAGGGACCTGGATGATAACCTTGTTTTCTTTGGCGCTCACTCCTACTGTTTTTATTATCATTAGGGAGAAGCTCTTTCATTTTCCCTTTGCRCTGGAGCAAGGAAACAAAACAGGGAACAAAAGCAGAGGGATGGGGCGGGAGCAAGGAACCAGCAGCTCAGAGCTTTACACATTGCTCCCACACTGGAAATTCCCCGGAAAGGCCCTTTCCCTGGCAAAGCCGAGTGGGAGCAGCCCGAGGTCCCAAAATACAACCCTGAAAGCCCTGGCACCGGAGCGTGGAGCGAAGCCAGCAGGACCTGGCCGCCTTTTCCAAGCCCTTTTCCCTGCAAAGGGGCACGCCAAGAGCTCCTCAAGGAAACTGGGTCGCCGCTCCGTGTGCCCGGCTGGACGCRAGGGCCGCCGGCCGCGTGTCTCGCCCCCATTCCGGGCTTTTTTTGTTCCTCTTGGCCAAAGGAGGCAACGGGGCTGAGCCGCCCAATAGCTCCCAGCAGCAATCGCGCTGCAATAGGAGAACTGGTTTATTTAAAAACAACAACAACAAATAAAACCACCCTTAAAATTGCCCTGCCAATACCACCCATGGCTCTCCCAGCCATCATCCTCACAGCTTCCTTTGCCCGTTACGTCTGCACTCCATGCCTGGACCGCGCTATTGAGGTCAGCTTGGGCTGTTTGCATCCCGAGGGGCTGCTCGCTCCTGGGCTGGTCCCATTTCCAACATCGGCAATGGGATAACACTGGAAATGTGACCATGCCGGGGTCAGCTCCCTTCGCTTCCCATTGCTTCCCAGGAAAAGGGCGCGGGGCTTGGGGAACGCYGGCACGGTGACACTGCACGCCGACCCGGCCAGCGGAACAGGTTGTCACGTCCCATGTCACGCAGATAAAAGCCATAAAGCTCCAGGGCGGCCAACACGGTGCAGGCAGTCCAAGAGTTCAGGAGCTGCTTTGGCACGTGGGTGAGGAAAACCCAGGCGGTTTCGCGCCCGTGTCACGGGCAGGGAGCAGGCAGGTCCCCCCCGCTGCTCACAGGTCATTTGGGATCGCTTCTCAGAAATGAGGCAAGGCTGATAATGAAGCTCGGAGCGCCTAATTGCCTAATGAGCCCYGGATGGCTTCCCCTGGTGCCACCCGTTTGCAAAAGAGCTTGCGTGGGGCCGTGGTGGCTGATGTTGAGAATTCGCTGCTTGTTTTCCCCTCCCCTCCTTCCCCGGCTTGGAGCCTGCCAAAAAGGCAGTTTAAAAAGGAAAAAATCAAAAGAAAAAGAGAAGGAAGCAACAAGAGACATCCTGCAGGCTCCTCCACATGCCTTGGCAGCCCCTACTCACATAAAAGGCTCCAAAGGTGCAAAGAGGAGATTAAAGGAGTTTAAAGACTGATTGCAGCAGCCAGGGGGAGGAAAGTGGCTGAGCTGGAGTGAGCTTTGCTGTGTTGGTCCAGGCACGAGTGGTCAAGATTAAGCCTTGCCAAGGGCACGATGGCTCCAGTCTGGGGCAAGGGACYCTGGGCAGCCTTGGCCAGGCACTGCTGTCCCATGTGCCGAGTTTCYCGGGTGCATTTCAGAACATCCCCAAGGACCATCCTGCAAACATCCCTCTGCTTGCAGTCCAGGACTTGCTCCAAACCTACCGGACAACACGTGGTCCAGCTGGAGGGTGAGGGAATAACCCAAGTGAGTTAAAACACCCCAGCAAAATAAGCTCTGTGTTTCAAGCAGCCCCCTGCATCCTCTGGAGCCCTCCTGCCATCTCTCCTGTGCCGTTTTAATTAAGCAAAAAGTAAGAAAGAAGCAGATAAAAGGYTTTGCATGGTTTTTCACAGTCAACAAGCTGCCGCATGCGGGACCGACTGCAGAGCTGCTCCCTGCACGCATGCGGCTTCCCGCAGCAGAGCGTGCAGGCTGCAAGGGCAGGTCTCGGAGGTGCTTCTAGGAAAGCCAATCTTGGACCTACGGGGGCAAATTCCAGCCTCYGCGCCCGGGAAAACACCTTGAAGCCCTAAACAACCCGTTAGCCCTGGAGCTCGCTCAGAGTCTGCCCTGACGGGCAGCGTGGGAGAGAAAACCTGCCAGATTGCAGATAAACAGCTTCTTAACAACAAGCTTGATTATATCTCTAATTTTAAAGAATTAAGAAAACAAACAAACCAAAAAAACCAAAGGTTTTTTGCATGCAATCCCTCCCATGTATGCACCCTTCTTGCTGCTTGGGCTGCAAGCGGGGCTGTGCGAGAGCCTGGAGCAAGCAGAGCAAGCAGAGCGAGCAAGGCCACGGTGTTGGCGACTCCAGCTGTCCCCAGCGTGTCCCTGCCCCCTTACCAGTGGCTGCGCACGCAGTTGAGCAGCAGGATGACGGTGCCCAGGCAGTAGCAGGCGGTGCGTGGCGAGCCGAGGGCGCTGCTCAGCGCGCGCGTTTTGTGCTCCCATCTGGCTACCTGGGGAGACAACAGAAGAGCAACGCGGTGCGTGGAGGTGCCGCGATGGGGAGAAGGTGCCAGGGTGGACACAGACCCCGGGGAAGCAAAGGTCTGGCCCTCAGGGTGCTCTGACATGGGCAGATGTTGCAGACAGATGTGCATCCAGCTGCAAGCATCACTGCTAGCAGCAACCACGCCAGGCTGACCCAACTTGCTGCATGCAAACCCCTCACCTCGAGCTCACCAAGCTCCTTCAAACTAGAGTGCAGGCTCTTAGCTCCATTTAGCAGCAAAACATCAGCAGCAAAGGGGGACTTTGAGGGTCCCCCTTCCTTCTCCGGGCCAATGCCGGGAGCCGAGTGCCGTGGGGGGCAGCGGGAAGCCGTGCCGAGCGGGGCGCTGATTGCACACGCCGCGGGCTCATTCAATTAGTTATGCAATGATTGCTCCACAATTACCAAGCCGCTCGTGGCGGCGTGCGCGGCGTCGGTGCCTTTTCCTGGCTGGCCTCAATGGTTTGCAGCCRAAATTGAATTTAAGGCGTTGTGCGTCACGCTGCTGCTAAAACGGGAAGCAGGAATGGGAGGGGATGTTGCTACCTCTGGAAAGCAAAAAATGTGACCGTGCAGGTGACAGAGTCCCAGCCAGAGGACGTAGCCACAGGCTGCTCGTACAAATTCCCTCATTCCCTGCAAAACTTGCAYCGGGCACAGGATGTTGGCCGCTCACTTCCCAGAACGTCCCGGTGGAGCGGTTGCAAAGCGCATCGAAGTGGGGCGGCTTCCCGCGCGCTCCGGCTGCTGGCATTCCCGAGCTCCCTGGCCGGGACCGAGGCGCCGTCGGAGCTGGGCTTGTGCTGCTGCTTTGGAGCAATTAATTGGTTCCGGTTCTGATTCCTGGCTGGGAGCAACTCATTAGCTCTGGCGTGCTCCTGGCTTGCTAATTTTAGGCGCTCCTGGCTAATATTAGCTCCCAGCCAATGCCTGGCTAAGCGGCTGCCTTTGTATTTTTAGTAAACGAGAAGATGATGTGGGKTTTTTTTTTTCTTAATTTTCTTTTATTGATTGCATGATGGATGCAAATGATTCCGTCAGCCTCTGGAGGGGCCAGGAAAGGCTCCGTGCCGTGGCAACGGTGCGGCACGTTCCCCATCTCCCTACTTGCAAACGGAGCATCTTGATTTTCCCAGAGGTGAAATGAGAAGCAATTCGAGCCCGCTTTCCCCAATACTCTGAGTTTTCACTTTAGGAAGCCTTGTGATGGTGGCGAGTATAGGTGTATATATATATATATATTTAAGATTTCCTGCCTGCTGCAGCGCTTTTACCTTTTGGGGCAGGATGAAGCTTCCTAAGCCGCGAACATCCCTTGCAAAAGCACCCTGGCCTCACGGACCTCTCTCTGCCATCGAGTAAGGGGAAATGCGCCCAAATGGGGCGAGCTACAGACGCACGGATAACCCAGCCCAAACTGCCAACATCAGGACAAAAAACCCCCAACTTTCCACCCTTCTCCTTCACCCCGGTGAGCAATTAGTGTCACGGAAGAGCGGGAAAGATGCCCATTTCACCCGCGGGGACCGGAGGCACAGCACAAACCCAATTTTTATCTCCGGAACGTGGTACTAAAGACCACAAGGCTGATTCCCCGCTTCCCAGGCGCAGCGCTGGGCACACAGCATGGCTTTTCCGAAGGCATGTGCCGAGCAGCCCCGGGGAGCGGCGTGCCGCCGGCAGYGGGAACATGATTAGCGGCAGCTCTGGGCAGCGAAGGCAGGAGCGGGAGAACAGAACAAACCGCGGTTTAATTTGTACAAGCTGGTAATTACGGTCGCTATCTGTCTGAAATCTCTATTGAGTTTATTTAAATATGTTCTCGGCGAGGGCCGTTCGGGCAGGGATTATCAAGGTGTTGCAGCGGAGGGGATAGCAGCGCGCGGCTCTCGGCAGATCGAGGGCTGATTAAGGAGGAATTAATTAGCTGCTTAAACAGCCCCTGCCCGGCTGCAGCAATTAGCTGCCACCTCCCCYTGGTCACGTTCCCGCGTGTGCGAGGCACGAGGCAGGGGACGTTTTCCCTCTTATGGCCTTTTAGTGGAATGGTCCCTCGTGCATYCTCCTGGCTACTGCATCCTAGGTGTTATGAGCCAGCAGTTCTCAGCCGTGCTCCTCCAGCCGCTGTCCTGGTGTCCACACATCCCTGGTGTCCAYGAGGATCCAGGGAGCCGCATTCCTGCTGGTGCCTCCTGGCTCTGCTTTATGGGATTGCATCCCGCGTGCCGGGCTCCGGAGCAACCTGCCTAGAGACGCRGCTCTTTCTCCGCAGGCTTCTCGATTCCCAGGCATCCATTAGAGCAAGCCCCGAGGCGCTAATGGAGCACGAAAGCTTCCAGAGGGCACTCCGCTAAGTGCTCAAGCGCTGCCAAGAGATGGGAAGCGACGGGCACCGCGGGCACGGAGCTGCTCCCACCAGCGAAYGGGACCTGGGAGCAGGATGCAACGCACAGGCAGGAGCTGGAAGCAAACGGCCACGTGCAAGTGCATGGAACAGTACCACAGAGGAGAAAAAGGCAGGTTGGCAGGTAACTTGGTGGACCAGAAGGTTCAAAAATCCTCAAAGCTTGCAAAAAAAAAAAAAAAAATATGGGAATGCAGCAATAGAGAAAGAAGCCAAGAGCTCAGCGGGAGCTCGCAGATCCAGATGAGCCAAGGGACTCAGCCACACAGCAAACCTGAGGTCTTCAAAAGCGCCAAGAGGAACCTTGCAGAAACCTTGGCCTCCCGCAACCACGTGGGGATTTTACCTTAAAAAAATACCATTTTGCAGCCCTTTCCGGGAAGGCGATCGCAGGGACGCGGCGCAGGTCACCTYGGCTAACGGCCCTGCGCGGGGCAAGCAAAACAAGCGGGCAGGTAAACAGAGCAGGGTTTCGTAAGGACTGGGTAGGCGTCACCTCGGAGCAGTCCCTCGGGATTACTTCCGCACGGAGCCTTTACCTTGGCTCCACTCATGATAAGCAGCCAGATAACGCTTTTCATTTCTCTAATAGTGTTTACGCCATCGGCCCCAGCACCATCTCATTAGCGGGTGGCAATAAAAACATGCCCTTGCTCGAAGCGCGCCGGGGCCCCTTGATGTTCCAAGCCGAATCCTTTCCTCTTCAATAAAAACAATTCCGACATGGAATACGGGCTCCTGCTTGCTAGCATTTTCCAACACAAAATCCGACCCCTTCCTCCCGGCAGCAGGGAGCTCGGGATTTACGTCAGAAAAGCTGGGAGCTGAAGGCAGATGATTTTGAGGAGKGGTTTTGAGAGCTGCGTTGGTTGATTTTTGATGCGCTTTGGCCACGGGGAACCATCCCGGATGGTCGCAGACCTTCTGCTGGCTTGTGGTCCTCCTGCCTAGCTCCAGTTCCCTAATCCCAAAAGGAATTCCTGGCAGAGCWGGGCAAGGTGCAGGTTGTGCCCGTGCGAGTGTCTGGGGTTATTCTGCAGTCAAGAGCTTTTCCATAGAGGGATGGGGAAACACTCCGTGTTTAAACCAGACCAGGTTGATTTTAAAAGTAAAAGTTATTTTAGTTGGAAGGAAATCAGTTTGCTGCAGCTCTTCCAATGCACCAAAGGGAGGTGGGGAAGGGTGGAAGCATCCCAGCATGGAAACCTTCAGGACCGACATCCACAAAGGAGACGGAGCCGAGCCAACCCAGCCTGGGAGCGTCCACGCTCCAAGCCGGACATCATCTCGGCCGCTCGTTTGCCTTAATAAGTTTGCCTTGATTCCAGCTCTRCCCAGCTCATTAGCCGCACAGCTGAACCCGGTACTAAACCAGGACCACTCTTATTGCAAGAAATAAATAATAAAATCGCCCCACGCAGCGGTTGTTTTCTTCCTCTAACGCAGGGCTGGGAGCATCTCGTGTATCCGCTAATGAAGTCCATTATAGGCCCAGCTTCCCAGCAAGTAAAAATTGCACTCATTAGCCAGCGGCCACCGAGAGACAGAAACACCCTTTCTAGCAGGGCTGGCAATAACAGAACGGCGAGTCCGAGCCCGGCTCTCCCTCCTGCAGTACCCAATGTTCTTCATTAGCATCCGTCCTGCAGCAGGTCGCAATTACACCCAGTAATTAGCGCAGGGGAAAGGAGCACTAGGTGCCGCGGCGGGTGCCGGCGGGGTGGCCGAGGAGTGAACGGGATGACGGGCAGGAACGTTTTAAAAAGATAAGCAAGATAAAAAGACAAGGGCAAGGACAAGCGGCGGCGGGAGGAGAATTGCAAAATCCTTGGTAATTTTTTGTGCTGAAGGGTAAAGAAGCACAACAGATAGTTCATTGCCTGCAATAGCATAACGACCAAGCCTTGGTCTGGCACCTCTTGGGCCATTTGCAAACAGCACCCAAAGTCAGGTCTGCTTCTCCCTGATTTTCTCGCTGCCTTTTTTTTGTGAAATTAGGCTTGAATTCTCTGGAATAAACCTGCCAGTGAGGACTTGTAGCACTGCTGTCCCTTTGGACAGCGTGTACCCGCTCCGCGCTCTCCCAAAGCCTGGCACGGGGAGGGGGACGGACTGCTACGAGTGGGGAGAAAAATAATAAATACACCTCGCAGAGCACAAAAGCCAGGAGAAACCCAACACCCCTTCGCAGCGTGGTGAGAGGTCGCTGGAAAAGCGGAGCAGGAGCGGGATTGCGCTCCGGGGCTGCCGCCCTCCTTGCTGTTCCGCTGAAGTTCAAGCTATCGAGTTGCATGTTCCCTGTCAACCGACCCGCGGGAACATTTCCCACGGAGCCGAGGACACGGGGCCGTGCGGCGCTGCTGTCGTCCGAGTGGCCGACAATAGCGCGGGACAACGTGATCTTTATGTAAGACGGGGCTTGCGCGCCCTGTCCCTGTTCTCCCGGCCCCGGGGATGAGGTGTTCGAAGCCGGGAGCTGCATCAGGAAGGGCTTTTTGTGCTTCTTTGGCAGCAATATCTGCACGTGTTTAATTTTTCAAGCGTTGCTCCAAGCCTCTACCAGGCTCCAAACAGCAGCTAAATCATATAGGGCATGTGGAGATGCCAGCTAGACCAATGCGTAAAGCAAAATAAAACCAACAGTAAGAGTTTGGAGGGTTAAATGCAATCACCAAGCCCCTTGAGGCTTGCTGGCATTAAAAATGGGATGTCTGGGGATGTTTATGGGAGGCCCCAGGTGCAAAAATGTGCCCTTATTTATGTATTTGATGCAAGRAACACAACCTGAAAGTCAGGCCAGGAATTAGTCACCATCCGAATGGGTGACCTGACAGGAGGGAGCTCCTGTCCATCCAAAGCCTCCAAGCCTGACCGGATAGGGAGCACGGGCAAGCCCTGCACACGGAGCCCCAGCCCGTATATACTCCATACGCTGCAGGAGCATGAAAGGGTATTTGCTGCACCTGGGGCAGCGCAGAGCCCGGAGCTGCGCTGGCTATCGGGAAAGGGAATAAGCAGGAAGGGTTTCTTGATAGGAAAGCTTCGTCATTAAATATATCATGGAGCATCTGCACTTATTCAGACAGGCTCGCCCCAGGGCAATCCGCTTTGGTCCAATTAGTGGGACTCTCTCAAGGAAAAACGAATCAATAAGAAGGGCAGAGACTCTGCACACAGCAGCACTGGTGGGGAAGAAGCTCAGCTTCGACCTCCCAAAAGGAGGTTTCTATGGCAAAGGAGAGACTCAAGCCAATGCAGTCACCCCAAAATGCCGAATGAGACCCAGCCCATCCGCAGATGGAGAGGACGAGGATGGTTCCTACATGGTCCTGGTTGAAGATGGACCACCCTGTGCAYGCAGGGAGCACCTCAGCAGAGCTGGAAGAGGGGAAAACTCCTCTCCTYGTGTCTGCCTTGGCCAGGGGATCTTGTGGGCCACGTGCCTTGGGCACAGRCCGTGCTGGGGACGGGGACACCAGCCAGGAGCTCCTGCTCCTGCAGAAAGAGGAGGCGGGAGGAGAACAGGCAGGAGAAGCATCTCCAGGGTCATCACAGCCGCACGGTCTTTTTCCTTCGCTAGACATGTCTTTTGTGCTTTTCTGGCAGGGTGCTGGTGCAATTACGGCTTCTTTTGTGCGAGACGCACAAACCTGGTAACGAGCCCTGCTCCTACCCAAGGAAGGAGCAGTGATGGCCAGGCTTTCCCCCAGTGCAGAATGTGGAGAAAGTGGCTAAATTTCCCCGTCTCAGCTTCGCCCACTCAGGGCCACCAGCTGCTCGCAGGCTGCTTTGCTGCCAGAAAGCACAAAAAGGAGCACATCCCAAAAGGAACGTGCCCACGCAGAGCACGAGCGGCAGCTCTCGCGGCAGGACAAAGCAGTCGCTGTGACCGGGGAGGGGACCGTGCTGCATCATCCCACTCCGGGGGAGGAAGCAGGGGCAGCAAAAAGCACTCTGCAAAAAGAGCAAGAAACCTCCAAACCCAGACAACGGGGTAAAGCAAAAAGATTTGGATTGCAATGACACAGGCAAGTCAGGAGCKGCAGCAAGCTCTCCTCTTACTCGTCCTCATGCATCCCCAGACCACTATTAGCCCCATGGAATCGCTGGCTCTCCACGCACGCAGCTCTTGCAGGCTAAACTCCTTCCTCTRCTCCAGTTGCGCTTTCGCCTTGCCCGGCGGGATGTAATTGCAATTTTATAGGTGAGCAGCTTTGAGCAGCGCCCTGTCAGCTGCCGCAGGCATCTCGCAGCAGCGTGCCGGGCAGGGGAGCAGGAGGACAGTGAGGACAGGACTCCTTGCTGCTCACAGCGCCTATAAATATCCCTCCGATGCATATGAAAACAAGGCTCTTACCCTAAACGTATTTTTTTTTCATCCTTTGTGCATATGCTGATTTACCACGGCGGGGCTGCTGGCAGACGGCAGGTTATTTTTGAAGCAGCAACAAGCTAAGTCTGGGATGTACAATGACACTGGGGTTCTAAACAAAAGCTGCATAAAGCTAAAAAATAAGGAAGGGGGAGGCTTCTCCAAGACCAACACTCCTGGGGGAACACAAGGTGGGAAGGAGATTGGGGCCTTGATTTAGTATCGCCAAGAGGATGCTTTGCCCTTCCCCATAGCCGTGACATATATATATATATATATATATATATGTATGTATATATATATGAATAGCTGGCATTCTCCTTGCCACAAGGGCTGAGACCCTCCTGCACTCGACACACTGATGACCCGCAGCCCTGCTCTGTGGCAGGAGGTTCAACGGCAGCGATCAGAGCCCCGTGGCATTTGCTACGAAATCAGCCTGGAGAGCCAAATGCTCCTGGTGTGTGTTTGGGCACCAGGTCCTGTATGGGAAGCATCGCCAGGAAATTCTGTTTGGGTCAGAAAATGGGAAAAATAGACAAAACCCCCAAAGCTTTGCGTTTTTGGYGGGTGTTGAAGGAATGAAAGTGGCTGTCGCTGTCCCCTTCCCCCGAGTTTAGCAAGAAGTGGTCAGAGGTAGGTGCAATCGGGCTGCCGGCGCCGGCAAAATTCCCCCCATGAGAGCTTCTCATCCACTTGGCAGGTTTCTCCAGGGGGTGAAGGAGACAAGGAAGGGAAATGAAAACCAAGCCAACCAAGAGGTCGGGTTTCATGCCTGGAGAGGGATGCAGGGCTCTGCCAGACCCTGTGCCCAGCCATCAAGCTCTTAGCCAAAAACTCGCAGTGTTTAAACAGCTGAGAGCAGCCGAGAGTGGAGACCCGGCCGTCCCGAGCAGCAGAAGACGCAATCTTGAAGGATAAACCGGACTTCGTGGGCCAGGGGGTTATTTGCTTCCAAATCCCACTAAGTTGCCCCAATTGCACTCCTTTGCTTGAAGCGCGTGGCTCYGTCGAGAAGTCACCAGAGGTGACGGCGAGAGCGAGCTCCCGGCGAGCAATCACGGACGCAACATTTTCAAATTGGTCCATGACGCCGGCCCCAGGGCTTCAAGAGCTCCCAATCAAGGGAAGGACGGACGCGCCGTCTCTCCCGCTTGCAGCCCACGTGCTGATGGACGTCAGGCTGCTGCCGCACTGAGGGAATCTCCAAAACACTTAATCCAGTAGCTGGATGAGCTGCAAAGCCCCGTGCGCTCCCCAAGGATGCYGGCATGCGGCTTATCCCGGGTTTAAAGCATTTGCTCCCTGCAAGTTGTTCCCTGTTTGCTATGGGCAGGAAATTTCTCCCAGCATCCGGCTTTCCTCGGTTTGCCCAAGCCCAGCACCGTGCCAGGAACACAGGGACAACGTGGGGCTTGGAGAGGGACACACCACCATGCTGTGGTTGCTAGCAGGGCTTTGGGACGCCGAGGTTTGACCAGTGCCACGTGATTTATCCACACAGGGAGCAGACATGGCTCCTGACACTATCCCAAAATCCAGAGTGGCTGCAGGAGCCGCTCGCTCACCTGCCAGGGCCTGCAAAGCTCCTCGCTCGCRGCCCCTGCGTCTTGCTTGCAGTGCCACCTGCCGTCACCTGCACTGCTGGCGCTGTCACATCAGCTTCCCCCGTCCTGCCACCGCTGTCAAACTCCCGATCCCAAAAGCCGCGCTCGTTCCCCTCCCACGAGTCCCGGATGCAGCAGCAGGAGCCAATAAAGCGCTTTTTACCTTTCCCTTTCATGCTGGTTCCCATTGAACCCTGGCTCTCCGGGGGCTACAGCCCGAATCTTCCCGCTCATTGATGCTTTGTGCTACATGACGGCTCCAAAGCTGAAATAATGCAGCACGTCCTGCCTCRTATTGCTGACGCCATAAGACTTTTTAATAACACGTTGCATGGAAAAATTAGGGAGGCTGCAACAAAGCTCTGCACCAGGGGCTTCCAAAGCAATGCACAACTCAGCCTCAATCTCCAAACCCTCGTGCTGGGAAAACGGGGCATTTTTAAGGAGAATCCCCAGGGGTGAAATCCCCCATAGGGATGGGGAGGGATTTTGTGGGAGCGTGCAAGGAGCAGGATCTAGGAGCGTGCTGCAAGGAGCAGGTTCCTTGCTCTGATTGCCGGTCTGAACTCCTCTCCTTGCCAACACCGTGTCCATTTGGGAGCGTTTCACCCAAATCAGGTGCTATTTGCAACAGCACGTGCCCGGGGCAGTGGCGAATGGGAGCTAAGATCCAAGGGGAGCCRGCGGGGGGATGCCGGATGCTCTTACCACGTTCCAGAAGAGCGGGTTGAAGGCGATGCAGAGCACGGCGGCAGCGAAGGCCCCGTCGGTCACATCCACGTAGCCGAAGAGCCGCGCCATGGCTCCCACGTCCACCTGTGGGGCAGGGGGTTAGCGGGGTGCGGGTGACACCGGGRCCAGGGGCCCGCGTGTCACCGTAATGCCACTGCGCGCAACCGGGCACCCCTCGGGGCGCTCCCCACGCATTTGCATTGGGAAAAGCAGCAAAAGGCTTTTCTGTCCTGCTTTAAAAAAGGAAAAAAAAAAAAGGCAAAAAAACTCAAAATCTACTTCCCCCCGTTTTTTTTTTCGCTTGAAAGAAAGACACTTTTTCCCAGGACAGCTCCCTGACACAGCCAGCATTTTCTCCATGCAATAAGTCACGCTGTTTCTCCCTCCCTGCCCCCTTTCCCTGCAGYGGTATTTGGAGGGAAAACAGCCAACACTTTATTTTCTTTTCTGCCAGAAACTTAGAAAACAAAAGGCAGAGCAGCCCAGCCCGAGCCCTTCCCCCTCTTGAGGCACAAGCGAGCGGGAGCGAGCGCGCAAGGTCTCAGCTCCCCAAACACAGCTGTGTTTGCAAGGCTGCGGGGACAGGGACAGCAAGGGCCGACCTGAGCGGCGTTGTGGCCTCTGTGCAACAGCTCCAGGAGCAAAATCCCTGTCGGGAGCACCTGGAGCGGGGCTGTTCAGGCCAATGCCTTGTGCAAGACTCAGCAGCTTCATAGGCTGCCTTTAAACCTAATTTTCTGGGGTGCCTCCATCCAAGCCCCGGGCACAGGGATGCAGCCGGTCCCCAAGAGCCATCCCTTGGAAAACTGCCCCCACTCCAGACCCCACTGCCCTCCTTTGGGCAGGACCATCCATCCTGGTGAGCTGGGCACCGGGAATGCTGTTGGTGCCGGGACCGAACTGTCTGGTCCCGCTTCAATTGCGGCATGCGGGGGACCAGGACAGCCTCTCTCCGCTCGCCGCGTACGGCGCCGCGCGCGCCGAACAAAACCTTCTTGACCTACTAACTGGCGGCACCTCGAACATTGCACCCACCTGCGTTTCCTCCCCACCGACAGCCAAATCCCGCCGGGCCGCCCGTGGGAAGCAGACTGGGCTGTGCCCACGTTGTGCTCTTAGGAACAACGAGGGAGCCCGTTGGGATGAGCTGTCTGTGCAAGGAGTGGAGAGGGCCAGAGAATGTGCAGGGAATAGGGTGCCCTCTTCCCCATGTAATTGTGGCTGCTGGATCCTTTGCGGTGCCCGGGCATCACCCCAGTGGCAGCCAGGTCCCTGCAGTGCCACGTTTCCCACGGGCTGGAATGCTGGCAGGAGCCAGAGGCGGYGAGTCCCAGTGGGAGGCTCCCTGGCACCCGGCGTGCCCAAACTTTCCCTGGACAATAGGAGCCGAAACCRTATCCGTGGCAGAGCCGGGCAGCTGAGGCGCACTGCCCTTCCCGGCCTGGCCCTGCCGGCCCCACGTACCTGACTCACCGCGGCCACTGGCATTTGGAAAAGGTCACAGCAGCCAAGCATGCAATATTGGCCCCAGAGCCAGGCGGAAGCGGCTCGGGGTGACCTGTCCCCACGCCAGGAGGGGCACCGCGGGTGCCCGGCGCCACTGAGCCTAGCACAGCCCCAACCCATGGGTGCTGCAAGTCCCGGTGCTGTCRCCGGGCTCGGGGTGCTCGCGGTGGAGCTCGCAGTCCTGGCATGTGTCGTGGTGCTGCACGTGCATCGCCGCCAGCGCCCGAGTTCCCCCATCCTCGAGCCAGGCCAAGCAGGTTCTTCCTCATCCCTCCGAATCCCTCGCCAAAAGCACCCCCGAAAGCYCCGGTAACGGCGGTGCCGTCGAGCAGCCCCGAGGTACCCGCAGGCAGCGGCGCGGGGGGCGCGGCTGGGCCGCCGCCGAGATTTGCGGCGTGCAGCGGGCCACACACCCCCGATAATCCCCGCTGCAGCCGCGCGACCCCCCGTCCTCCCGCCGCTCCCCCCCAAAGCGCAGCCCCCCACTCCGGGCAGCCCCGCCGCGCCGGCGAGGGGCGCCCGCCACCCCCTTCCCCGCCGCGGCCCTACCTCGCTATAATCCAGCTGGCCCAGAGCTCCGCAGCATTCCCTAGGGAAGCGCCAAGCGTCTCCCGGCGCCATGCGCGCCCGGGGCCCGGCGTCCCCCCGCGGCGGCGG